AGGAGTGCTATTCAGTTCTTCTCTTTTTCATTACAATAGTTTTCTATAGGATTTGAGTTCCATACTTTCCCTTGGTTAATTTTATGTGAAATTGGTTTTCTCAGACTTTTTGAAGGAGGCAGTTGTCAGGATAGTTTTTCTAACTTTGCAGAGAACCTTTTATTTTTTGGCTGTGCCATGCGGCATGCAAGATCTTAGTACCCCAACCAGGGAGCGAACCTGTGCCCCCTACATTGGGAGCTTGGAGTCTTAACCACTGGACCACCAGGGAAGTCCCAAGAGAACCTTTTTAATTTTTACAGTCTAGCATTAAAATTTTGTAAAGTCAGCTTACTTTCAGAGATTTCCTGATCCTCCATCTTTACCTGGACCCTCTCTTTCCTTTGTCTCTCCTTGACTCAATTTTGTTCCCATGCCAAGCAGTTTGTCTTCAGTGTGGGTCCCTTTCCTTGAAGGAAGCCCTGGTAGGTCAGTTTCAAGAGTTCCTACAGCAATATTGTTCCACCCCTCAGACCTCACCAGGAGCCCTTGCGCTCTCAAACACCACTTTCTACTTCAGACTGGCTGGGCCAGTAAATACCTTCTGGCTATTTGGGGATTCTTCAGATGCCTCACTGATTCCCTTTGCTGATATAACAGAGATCTTGTAAGTACTATGGTTTGCTCCTATTTGCCTATATTTTGGAAATCATAGGGATACCATTCCATTTAGATTTGTGGTTAATGTTGTCCATGGGCCTCTGGTTTTGCTTTATAGTTCCTTTCTCTATTTTCATGGGGAGACTGAATAATTATGCTGCTGTTGTCATCTTCCCAGAATTCCCCCTCAAGAAACAGATTTTTTAAATGACTTAATAGTCATCTTCCAGGACCATATACTCAGGCAATGGTATAGTTTTGTAGACATGATACTTAACCACTGTACACTACCTCTCCCACCACTACCACCATCACCTTCTTTCATCTGGACTCTTCTGATAGCCCCCAACTAGTCTTTTTACTGAAAGTGGGGCCTGGCTTCTCATTGCTCTAAAGCTAATAAGGGGGCAAGTTGGTGGAAAGTTTGCTTGATTTCAGAGGCCAGCAACCAGGGGTTGGGGGAGAGGGCAGACTCCTGTTCAAAGGCCGTCCCCCCCACTGTGGGGGTGAGAGCTATAAAAGCCGAAGGAGGGGACAACATTTAGAAACAGCACAGGCAGCTCTGACAGTCATCTTGAAATTGGTCATGGGGTGGTCTGATCAGCGTCATCTTGATGGCTTTCAGTACAGTTAATCTTTAGTTCCAGGGTCGGTTTGTTCCTATTTCTTTGAGGCCAGTTCTCGGAATTGTGGCAGCTTGTGTCATGGCTACAGTCTGGTCATCATGTAGCTAACTTCTTCCACCTGGTGTGGGTTTCAGTAGCTATAAGACAGCTCACAGGATATGGCTCAGAATATTATCCATAGCCCTTGAGGAGGAACTAAAGGTCCTTGACTTTGCTTAATGACTAAACTATTACTATTTTGTCCTGTTTGATTGTTTTCCTTTGCTTCTGCATTTTCTCACTTCTCTGATCGAATTTATTCTGACTGAAGTTTTCCTGCAGACAAAAGGCGGGCTGAGGGCATGGGGGGCATAGACCATAGTAGGGTCCTGCTCCATTTCAGTCTCATTGCTTCTACCACGCTGTACCTCTACAGCAGGGGGAGTGATTATTTTTAAATGTCAGATCACGTCATTCTCAGCTCAAAATGTTGCAGAAGCTTCTCAATTTTCAGGCTCTATGTGATCTGGCTTCTTTTTCTCTGACCTCTTCTTCCACTAGATTAGGCTGCTCTGAACACACCAGGCAGGTTCGCACCTCAGGGCATTTGCACGGCTAACCCCTCTTCCTCCTGATCTCCGCCTGGCTTGCTCCCTCACTTCCTTCCGTCTCTGCTCAAATGTCATCTTATCAGAAAGGCCTTCCCTGACCACACCCCATCTCCCATTGAAAAACAAAACCCTTCCCATTTGTTTTTCCTCATGGCACTTGTTATATATTAATTTTTTATATCTTTCCACCCAAAGTGAAAGTGCCAGGAAAGTAGAAACTTTGTCTTCTTAGTGACCCAAGTCGTTTTTAGCACAGAGTTAGCAATCAATACAAATTTGGTAACTGTCTGAATGAATATATTAATTACCTAGCACCTAATAGATATTCAAGAAATGTTAGCTCTTTTTTTCCTTTTCACAGGGAAAAGGAAATGATCTGTACAGAATGCCACTATCCCCCATGATAGAAGAACCAATACTGGAAACAGAGTCAGAAAAATAGGGGACAAAATACTGACATCAGAACCAAAGAAGGAGACAGTCAGCTTTCGAATGTACAGAATATCAAGGATATCAGGACTAGTGCTAGGAACTGCATTTATTCTCCCAAAATTCAGACGTTGAAGCCCTGACCCCCAATGTGACTGTATTTGGAGGTAGGGCTTTTAGGAGGTAATTAATTAAATGAGGTCATAAGTGGTGGGGTCCTAATCCAACAGGATTAATGCCTCTATAAGAAGAAACATCAGAGTGCGCTGTCTCTAATACCCTGCACCCGTCCACCACCAACCCTCCTCCCTCAGCTCTCTCCACTGTCTGCAAGCCAGACAGAGAGCTCGCACCAGAATTCCATCTTGCCTGTACTTGACCTTGGACTTCCCAGCCTCCAGAACTGTGAGAAATAAATTTCCGTTATTTAAGCCACCTAGTTTGTGGTATTTTCTTATGGCAACCCAAGCAGACTGATACAATTACATATCTGAAAAGGCCCTAAAATTCAGGGTAAGTCAGGACAAATCTGGAAATCAGAGTTTTTCCACTTTTCGACTGTATGGTCACTTATTAGAGTTGTAGATCCTAAGAAAACCTGTACGGCAAAAGCCAAATTATAGTAAGACATTTCAGTATAAAGATCCACATATTCCTTGAAGAGTATTTGTGGAAAAAAATACATTTTGTCTAGTTTTATTGAGATGTAATTGACATACATCACTGTATAAATACAGCTTAAGGTGTACAGTCTAATGGTTTGACTTGCATATATTGTGGAATGATTACCACAATAAGTTTAGCTGGCATTCATCAGCTCATGCAAATACAATAAAAAGAAAAAGAAAAAAAATGCTTAGGATTTACTCTCTTAACTTTCCTATATAACAGACAGCAGTGTTAATCATATTTATCATGTTGTACATTACATCCCTAGTACTTACTTATCGCCTAGCTGGAAATTTGCACCTTTTGACCACCTTCCTCCAATTCCCCTTCCTCCCACGCCCTGCCTCTGGTAACCACAAATCTGATCTTTTTCTATGAGTTTTTTTTTTTAATCCATTTAATGTAGAGAAAACACGGACTATTCATAAAAAGGTGTTAAATGTACGTGCACAACACTATCTTTAGCATCTGTAACTCAATGGGCTTAACATTTTAAAGTATGATTGTGGTTTCCAGTCAAAATGGAATCATATGGCACTCAAACACGTTAACCAGAAAGATCAGTGGGGTTCTGGATCCAGGATAAATTATTTTCCAAAAAAACGTACCTTTTGAATCTTTGTTTAAATCTTTTAGTGTTTCCATTAGCAACACTTGTCAGTATGTTTGTGATTCATATGGCCACACTGGAGCTTCCCTGTGACATTAATTATAATATGCTGGATTAGGGATTTATTCTTCAAAGCATAAGAAAAGTCTCGTCTCAACTAATAGATTTACCAAAATGAAACATCACTAGCCCCCTTACCAAAGGCTGCTCCAGTTCGGAAACAAGCTAAGAGTTCAGAAATGCCCTGCGCTTGATATGCTGAAATTCGCCAGTTCTTTGCAATTAACGGGCAGATTATTCGGTTCATAGCCTATTCGGTCCACACCACTAAGGCCTGACTCTTGCTGGGCTTTTGATCATTTATCTGCTCACTGGTACTTTTACACGTGAGGATAGGCACGAAAAGAAAGGAAGGTAATTTGCTTAATATCTTTACCCACATTAAAGTTTAATAAAGAGAGTAGAAGTTAAAGTAAATGGAGGAGTCCGGGTTGCCTGGCAACGTCCTCCGTCAATAGCCTCAGCACCCCGTGAAATTCAGCAGCAGGACACCCCAATCTCAAAGCTTCCCGCACAGACAACCGTGTGATGGGAGAAAAATCTCCCCCAGTGTCGACCTTGAAGGCACCGCACTGACCGCCTGATCCCAGTCACTGCCGGCTGCCCCGGGCCGCCTTCCCGGTGCCCGTCCCTCACACGCTGGCCGCAGACAGCGTGACCGGCTGAGCCCAGGGCTCCAGGGTCCCCTTCCCCCGCCCCGGGCTCCTCCCGAAGAAGGAAAACGACACTGGTCGCGCGAGCTGGAGGAGTAGCGAGCAGCGTCAAGGGGGTTGTCCCGGGGACAGGGGGACCGCGGGGAAGTCGGCACGAAAGCTTGAGCGAAAGCCGGGGCCGCCTCCCGAGACCCCTATGCCCCCTGCCGGCCGCCGTAGGTCCCTGCTGGCCGCTATGACCCACCCCCGGGCCGCCTTCCGCGGCTCCTCTGACCCCCGCGGGCCGCCGTACGTCCCCACGGGCCGCTGTGGACCCTGCCGGCCGCCATAGCAGTGCTCCCACCCCACGCCCGGACCGGCCTTTCAAGATGGCTCACGCGCCCCGCTCCCCCCCGGCGCTCTCGCTGAGGGCCGGGCAGCGGCGCAAGGCGCCAGCCTCGCGTTCCGACTCCCGCGCGGCCTAGAGGCCGGCAGCGGCCGGCCGGCGGCCTGCGCGCTCCGTCTCTCGGGGCGGGGCGGCGCGCCGGGCCCCTTCCGGGGATGGGCCCGGGCTCCTCCCCGCTCGGGCGGGCGCTCAGCCGTGTCCACGCCCGTCAGCCCGCTCGGCCCGGCTGGCCGCAGACCGAGCCCGGGCGGCCGCACGGGGAACTCTCAGCCAGCGGGCGTCGGGAGGCGGATCCCGGGCCCCGACCGGGACGGGCCGAGCCGAGCAGGCGGCGGCACCATGTTCTCGCTCAAGCCGCCCAGACCCACGTTCAGGTCCTACCTCCTGCCGCCACCCCAGGTAAACAGCCGTCTCCCCGCGGTGCCCTCTCCTCGCGTTTCCGGGGAGCTGAGCGCGGGCAGGCCCAGGAGACTGCCCCGTCCCCCGTCCCCCGGACCCCGGCGCGGGGAAGCCGCCTTCCCGGGAACCCCGCCGGCTCGGTGGAAACTTGCAAAACGCCGCCGCAGCCGTTCTCGGCTCCGAGACGGGACTCCAGGGAGCGATCGGAGTTGGGATTTATTTAGCTCTTCGCCTGGCGACGGTCCCCGCCGCGACCGCCGGCAGGATCGCATCGCCTGTGGGCACCTAGTGGAAGGGGTGACCTACCTGTCGTAAATGTGAACACCTGGAAGCGGCACTGGCGGTTGTAGTATTTTTATGGCCAGACTCTCAATTCCATCACGAGCAGATCCTTACAGGAGTTCGGTAAAAATGTGTAAGAATTTAAGTGGGGGGGATACGTGTCTGTCGCCTGTGTCATCACCTAGAAAATAAAATTTGCTTTTATCTCTCAGGCGGGAAAAAAGTTTTGATTTTGATTTGTTTTGCTAATGTATTTCAGACTGACGATAATATTAATTCAGAACCGAAGATTAAAAAACTGGAGCCTGTTCTTTTGCCAGGTAAACATGAGTGTTCTAACAGATACTTTAGTAATGTGTTTTGGCCTAAGATTATTCCACCAGCTAGTACCATGTGGTTAACTTTCCTCATTTACTTTAAACTTTAGCCACTTAAAAATCTAACGACTGAGAATGGAAAAAAAAAAAGGATTGGTAGAACTAAAGGACAGCAACAAAAAGTAATGATTAATTGGTGTTTGTCCTTGAAAACTGAAGCATCGTAGAAAACTGTCAAGAATACCACTACCTTATTTCCTTTTCGTCTCCTGAAATGTTCTTTTTTAAAGCGATCATGAATTGCTTAGGTGGTGAAAGGACTTTTTGCCCTTCTTGCCCATCTGCAGTTTCATGCATTCATGATTAATAATCAAATCACATTTCAGTAGTATAAAAAGCAACTTTTATTATGTCTGGGTCTCTATACCGATAACAAAGCTTAGTGAACTTTGGATTACTTACTTGGCAATTGTGTTTTGAAGGTGTCAGCTGTGTTTGCAAATCTTGTTTCAATTTAGAATAGGGCCTCCCGACAGAGACACTATAGACGTTTTGGGCCTGATAATTCTTTGTTGTAGGGTTGTTCTGTGCATTTCAGGATGTTTAGCAGCATCCCTGGCCTCTACCCCCTAGATGCCAGGAGCACCACCTCCTCCACCTCCTACTTGTGGGAACCAGAATGTCTCCAGACATTGCAAAACCCTTTTGTTAGGGGGTGGGGGGGACCCTAGGGGCAAAATTTTCCCCCTGTGGAGAAGCACTAGTTTAGAACAAAATTGACGTTAGAAGACCGTAGAGGTAGAGGTAGGAATTGATGGTAAATCGGAGATTAGTTTTAAAGCGTATAATGCATTTATTTGATTGGTATTTTGAGTTGTATAATAATTATATAACAGCTAGGAAGTCAGTTGTTTAATCTGATTATTGGGGAAAGTAGCCAGGAGAGCCTGTTTTAAACATGAAATATAATCAAATACCAGTTTGTGTGACTACTATCAATATTTTAAAATTTCAGTTGTTACTTAATGCTAAATCTGATAAAATGATTAGAACTCTATAGGTAGTAATTGAACAAATAGGGTAACTTAAAATTTTGTGCTTTAAAATTTTAAATATTAAGTAGGAACAAACAAATTTAAAACATAAACCTATGGTTCCCTATTATAGATGTTAACTCTTAAAACTGTTTTAAACTTTATTTGGGGAGTTAGTTATAACTATTTTCCCTTTATTTTGTTAATGCTTTTTAGCCAAACAGTATGTACTAAATAATCCTTTGTACTTGTCCTGGAAGTGAACAATAGAATTAATAAGTAACCTTTGCTCCCTGTGTGTGCTCTGTTTTGGTCTTAGTCACTCCAGGCATTTAAACAACCCTGTGGCAAACAGTGCTCTTCCTGAATGAGTGCCTGTGAGCTATTGAACTTTGGGTCCTTTTACCCTGAACAGGCCCTGTTCTTTGATTCCCCCCTTCTGATATTTGATTTGATTTGACACTAATAAACCGCATGGTCTTAGCTACAAATGATAGTGCTTGATTTTCTTTAGTTAACTTCTATATTTAAGCTTTGCTTGTGAAATTGTTACTAAATATCAGTAAGCTCAAAGAACTTTACATTGAGGGATTATCTGTTCTATAGAATTAACTAAAAACTTACCTTTCTGTTAAAAAGTCAGCGTTTTCTGGGGAAGTTGTAAACCCATTTCCTGACTCTCAGTGGTTTACTTGTCTTAGAAATCATAGCTAAGTCTGGATCCCCTGACCCGCGGTAGCTTTTCTTCATTGGCTCCGTGTGTGCATACGTGATGGCTTTGGCCCCCAGCATTGTTTGCACCTAACCTATTCCTCACAGAACATTTAGTCAATGCTAAATTAGTGTGTCTTTGCCCTCCTTCCCCACCTCTTCTGTTCTTAGCTTCCCATCCTGGTCTTCCCATGGTCTTTCCGTTCTTTCTGTCTGACCACCCCCCCGCCCCGTCATGGTCTCTGTGCCCTGCTTCACCTCTAACCTCACCAACTCCCGCCAGAACCTCTGTTGCTCCCTTTTCAGCCTGTGAAATCTGGCAGACAAGTGGAGAGTAACTGAAGCATTGGTAATCTATAAGACCTGGGCTGCGCTAGGGCTTTGCCTAAGAGGGCTTCATAATATAGTTCTGGCCTTCATTATAGTCAGAAACCAAGAGAAAACTTGGCCAAGTCACCTGCGGCTTTGCACAGACACGCGAAACAAGGAAGTAATTGTTCAGAGGTATAGTGTTGGATGTTATGCTTTGGCAAAATGCCTTGGGTTCAAGGATATCCTACTTCAGTTGCCCAAAGTTTGAACTTTTAATTCAATAAGCAGATGAAAATTGAAATACAAAATCAGTTGTTTATTTGCAGTTACCAAGTGCTCTGTTGAACTTGACGAGGCTGAATTTAAAATGATCTTCAGTTTTTATTAAACAAAGAAAACAGAAGAAATTGACTAGGAATTTAATTTAGATTGTGGTTTATGTTAGTAATATTCATCTTGCCTGGTTCATAAAACTCCTTGAGATGGAGATTGTATCTAATTCAGTTTTGTGGTACCCAATGTCCAGCATAGTGCATCGAGATGTTGGTTGAGTGAATGACAGTGAAAGGACCCCTCAGACCACCTGCTTAAGTTGTTCCCGTAGCCATGCGTGCGTGCGCACATACACAGACAAACAGACCAACTCTCAGGTTTAGGAGGAAGGGGAAGACTCTTACTTTATGCCATGTGTCTTGCCCTCTCCCAAAGCCACACTTCTCAAGACAATTGTATCTGAGCCTAGAACTGAAATACAGTGCTCTGCCAAAGCACCTGGCCTTTGCCTAGGCTTTCTCTTCATCTTCCCCTCATTACCTGAATCTCATTCTTTGACGATTGTGTTGTGTGTGTAAAATCACCCCAATCCTTTTGAAAAGAGGGAGAGTATGAATTTTAAATTGTGTATGTGTGTGTGTGTGTGTTCCAGCATGTATTTGTGAGAACAGGTGTTGCCACACTAAGCTTGAGTCTGTTTGGGTAGCTGCTGGGCTGGTGGATCCGTTCACTGAGCCTGTGAGTACCTCCTGGGTTCCTGGCTTCATGCTAGCTGGGAAGGTGCTGGAGGAGGAGTGGGCTTGAATCGCAGCAGGGCTGGGGCAAGCTCCATGCTGCCTGTGGACAAGGCAGAAGACTGTGACCTGGATCAGTGGTTCCCAGATTCTAGTCATGGCCTGGCTGACATCAGATCTGGATGAAGTTTTTATCAGCCCTTGGTCAAATTGAGAAAATTAAGAAAAATGCAGGTTTTTTTCCATAAAGCTAAATTGATTTGCTTTAAATTCTGAGATTATGTCCTTCCAGCTTCTTTGGTGTAGATATGTTCTTCTGTTAGTAGCTGTGACTTTAAAAAAGTTTTTAAGTTAGCTCTTGTGTAGGTTCCCTGAATTATTTTTGTAGTATACCTGATTTGTGGAATCTGAACTGGAAATCACTCCATGAAATTATTGTAATATTATAGGTACAATTTAATGAACACTCACACAGAGAACATCAGTTGTTTTATCTGCCTGGAGTCTTTCCACCATCTTCTGAAAAATGCACCACCCTCTCACTTCTGACAAATTCTTCTTCCCCATCTCCACCCAGCCCGGGGTTCTCGTGTGGCCAGCAAAGATGATAACCGACCCCCAGACTGCTAGCGTGAGCACAGGTTTGCCTCTGGATGTTTTCAGATTGGTACTGAGGAAAGAGATCGTTTTCTATAGCGCCATCCGTGGCTGAAGCACCAGCAAACTTGTCCAAAAGAATGACGTCACGTGTTGAGAGCGGCAAAGGCAGAACACAAAGGGAGAGTTCTGATGGTCCCATTTTCCTTGAAGTCCAGCTGACACCAGAGCCACAGAATTTTTCTTTTTGCCAAGCTAGTTCCGGGCATGTTTCTGACACTTTCAACTAAGATCCTTAACTAATATATGATATAGCTTACAGGTTACTCCTCATGACAGCCCTGTCAGGAAGGTACCAGTTTATCTTCCTTTGACAGGTGAGAAAACTATACAAGTCATAGAGGTTAAGTAACTTGCCCAGTGTTGCCCAGCCAGCAAGGGCAGAGCCAGGATTAGGAGCCCGACTCCCAGGCTGTGCCTTTAACCACTAAGCAGCAGGGCCTGCCTGACTGTGCTGACACCAGGGTTCAGATTTATGCTTTGGGATTGGATAGCCGGTGGGTTGGATGTCGTCCTAGAGGGAGTGCTCTAGGTGAGGTAAAAAGAGCTCTGTCCTCGGCTCTGCCCTTTCCACAGCAGACAGATTTGACCCAGCTTGACAAGCAACTTTCAAACGATTTCAGCTGCCAGAAAATGGAATGTCTCGGGAGTCAGTGGACTTCCTGTCTCTGGCCGAGCTGAGCAGAGGCTGGTGGAATGCCAACGGCTTTGTCGTGAGGGGATGAGATTTGCAGCGAATGGGGCTTGGTGGGCTTTCTCTCTCCTCTCTCTATGGGACATGATTTTTTTTTTTAATATTTATTTATTTATTTTGGCTGCACCGGGTCTCAGTTGCGGCACACGGTATCTTCATTGCGACATGTACACGGGATCTAGTTCCCCGACCAAGGACTGAACTCGGGTCCCCTGCATTGGGAGCGCGGAGTCTTACCCAGTGGACCACCAGGGAGGTCCCTGGGACGTGATCATTTTAGGGATCTGTGGGGTGGGAGGGGGACGGCCTGAGTTGATGGTTCAGTGGGTACTGACTGCTCATTCCGTACTGCTTGGTATAGGGGGAGCAGCCGAAGGAGGGGGCTCCTGCCCTGAGTCTCAGTTCACTGGCAGGTGCTTCAGTGGAGGAGAGCCGAGGTTGTGCAGGCTGGGGAAGGGCACCTGAGCCGCATTTGGGGAGGGCCTGGCGGTCGGGGAGGACTTGTGCTCTGCCCGGTGGTGCCCGCTAAGACTCAGCCTCTGTGCACAGGCCGGGGGTCGGCTCGGCCCTCCCTCTTCCGTCTGCAGT